GGCAATATTCTCAAAAACAATTTATCAGTTGATAACCTTTTCATATCTTTGAGAGGAACCGAGATAAACTGACTCAAATTCAATAGTCACTGGGCCCTTCTTTTACAAGCGTTGGGGTCAGTATTGTCGGAATTATTCAACTGTCACCTCGGTGTATGCAGACTCAGTGCAATACACTCTAATTTTTTGTTCCGACAAAAAAATCAAATAATTTCAAGTCCCATTCATTATTACTATTTCTTGTAATATCCTTTACTAGGATAAGAACAAAAAACCCGCAATTTTCTTTCCTAATAAAATCCGTTCCTTTTCTTTTCTTATTCCGTGTCAAAACACCGAATCCATTACTCTCAATTTCACTTTTCATTTTTCTGGATTCACGAATTGTTCTCTCCACTACTATGAAAAACATTCATTCAATCGAAAAACGTGAAGAAAAGTTGTTTTGGTAACCTTGATGCGAAGTTATCATTTCTCGAGAACCGATCCGCATTCGAAGCCGAATCAGTAGTATAAGTTTCACTTCTCCACTTTTTCCCTTTTATCTTTTCAGTATTTTTTCGATTTCCTTTTTTTGTTTTTGGTCGTGCTCTTCTACCCTTTTAACCAACCTATATTAATTTATGCAATTCAGTGGCCAAAAATGGGAGATTCCGAACCTCCACCGGAACGGGTTCCAAAGGAGGAACCTGAAACTGTGCTCCCAACTGTACAGAGTACTAATCCCGCGGATATTTCTGCGCAGAATCTACAACAGAATCCAAATCAAAATCTAGTTCAAATGTATCTCGCCTATCTACGTAACCTCTACGCAAAAAAGTTGCTCAACCCTAACGGTAAACAAGATTTGAAGTGTTCTGATCACTGAAAAAAATCTAATCTCTAAAAAAATAATCCCATCCCCAACAAAAAGTCAAGAATGACTCTTCGCGTCATTCGCATAAAGTGTCAAAGCGTTTCTTGTGACAACTAGGTGAGCGAGGTATAAAAAATAGCCTAAAATACTTTGGCGGCGTCGGCAACAGAGACGAGACTATTGGGAGTGGTGGGAGTGTGATGCGAGGCTATGGGAGGGTTGGAAAAAAGCAAAGACCTTGGAAACTTCTTCATAAAATTGTAAGGGCATTCTCTTGTTACTTTTTTCACCGTGATTTTGTGGTAGACACGAGAAAAATTCGATGATCTCAGGATCAAATTTACCGTGACTAATTTGAAGCAGATTTCATACAGACTACTTTATTTTTTGGGTATGTTTTTTATTGAATTGTTCTAGGATTACTCTGACTGTTAAAGACCTTTCATGATTCGAAAAACTGAAAAAAGTTTTGAAGAACGCTTACTTTCAAGCCACACCTTGGCATGTAGAGTATTTTCTCAAATAGTAGCCCACTCTATTCGTTCATATTAAGCTCAATTATTTCTATTTTTTCAAGAGATATTGAAAACAGATCAACTGATGGAATCTTATTTATATCACAGATAACATTTTATCAGTTGGCGAGTTTTTTTACATCTTTTAAAGGAAACGAGATGATTAAAATCAGATTTGACGCAAAGGGTTGCCTTCTACATATCAGAGAATTTACTGTAGTGTTCAATAGCACGGAAACAGATTAGTAATCAACTTTTCTAAAGTGAAATTACAAATGGATTACTGTAGATTCTAAAAATTTTTTGGCGGCTTCAGCCACCGCTTTTGTGTACGTATTATAATTGTGATGAATAGAAGCGTCCTATAGTGTTTTTTTAACCCGACTAACCATATTTCCTCCTGTCAAAGCTTAAGGAAGCAGTCAACTTTGAGCCCAATTATCTTGATTCCTGTGAAAGATATCAATTAGTCAACTAATAAACTATTGGTGGTATCATGATAAATTATTAACCACTTCAAAATTTTCGAAATCTTGCACAAGAAACGGGATAAGTAAGCTCAATCTCGGCAGTTTTCAAAGACTTATATCAGCAGGAATATGTTATCTCGATTTATTTCTAAAAAAATAGTTCAGTTAAATTTTTTCAATGATGCTATTTTAGATATTTTGTTAATTGACATATTTTTGTTGTTGACCACAGGAACCAATTTTAATTGGGTCAAAAAAACAATTTGCAATCTTTCAATCTTGCGGTATTTATTAGTGACCACTTTTTGAATTAATGTTTTTTTTTAGATATTTGGTCATACAGAATTTTTTCTGAGCACAGTTACTTGAAACGAGGGTTTTGAATTGTCCCCATCCCCTTGACATGCCACCCCTACAAGCCAATTCCCTACAAGCCAATTTTTCGTTGCTTCATCGGAGTACATGACTAACGCCGTCATGGAGAACGTAAAAGTGCAGAAGAAAAACCAGTTCTGGGGAATGCGCATTCTGAGAGTTTTATATCGAAGGGGACGCTTCCTCCAACGCAATTTGAAGGTTATCATTACTCGATCTCTACTACCTAAGAACTGTAGACGTGAGAGAGAAGACGACACCTACTTTTTGATCAGTATTCTATTTTTCTTGTTCCAAATACTTGTTTCTTTTTTTAAGGGTCCTTTTTCGAGTTCAAAAAGAAGAAGATTCAAAGTTCTATGCTTATTGGTCGTCTTTTGTATCTTATCAATTTTTTTCCCTGCCAACCAGCAAGTTTTTTTTTCGATTTGAAGTATCAAGTTTTTTGACATGTCCTTTCGAAAGATTGTTTTTATTGGAACGCGAAAAAAGAACAAAGGCTTTTTTTGTGTAAGAGATGACGTGGCTTTTATAGACGTCAAATCAGAATTCGGAACTTTTCGATTCCAAAAATGAGAAAGTCAAAAAAGTAAAAATAAAATCAAACAACAAAGCTAGGTTCCGTTCTCAAAATCTCCAAGATTTTCCGTCGGAAACATCATCAAATTTTTTTGGATACGGTATTCCAGCCTCGAAATTTCCGCTTTTTTTACTTTTTTGACCATTCAGCCTTTTTCATTCCTGCCGAACACACAAGCGGATACCGTATTCTCATAGATAGCCATCTTAAAGATTAGAAATTGCCCTTGTTCCCCTCCATAGACTTCTGGGGTGTCCTTTCCAACGACACACAATGCCAATCTCGTTTTGTTAATCTCAGAAAAAAAAAGATTCAGAAGGTCAGATCCCTCGTGTAGTTTTGTTTTTTGTTTTATCCTGCTCCTTCCCTTGAATGTGTCGTCCTTGTTATGTTCGAAAAGCAAGAGAGATAGAAAAAGCGCATCTCACATGTACACAACGGACATCCATTCGGTCCGAGCACTCACATGTTATCAAGGGAAACGCGAGTAGTGGAGCAGCGACTGGCGACCACAGCAGCAGGCAGCGCGGCGACAACTATTTTTTGTGTGCTTCTCCTTCTTTTTTTCCTCCTCTTCGGCCATCAATCGCACCCCCCCCCCAACCATCCATCCCTCAGTTTTTTTGTTGTCGTTTGTCCTTCTCCTCGCATCTCCTCAGTACCCCCCAGGCAGGCAAGCGAGGACCTTCTCTCCGTGTGTGTATGTGTGGTCACAAACGAAAGAACACGAAATATAGGCGAGAGTGAGAGAGAGTGCGCGACCTCGGAGGCGACGAGACAAAAAAACGAGCGAGCGGGTAGGCAGGAGAGGGCGGCCGATGAGGGGGCACAGTAGAGACCTTCTGCCACACATACATACGCCATCGCGGAGACTGGTACGAGCCAAACAGCGACTTCGTCTATCTCTTCGTTCTAAAAAACGATAAACACCTTTTCATCCCTCATCAGTACTGTATTACTGTATGATCATTGCAATTTGAAATGGTCCGACGACCAATTGTTCGTCCGACAAAAGGTATGTGAGTGCGTTTGTTTGAGATGTTGCGATTTTCCGAACGATAGGCGCTCGCGTCAACTGTCGAGTCTATTTTATTTCGAGAACGAGTGTGCGTGAAAAAAGCATTGAAAAATTTCGAGAGATGATAGAAAAAAACCTTTGCGTCATGTGTGCCGTAAACTCTTCACAGTCCTCGCATGTGTTGCGATATGTGTTTTATTTGACCAAGAAATAGGAGAAAATCGATATTGCTCCCCCTTTTTTTCTGAGGGGAAGACGACTGTTCACACGCGCGCGAGTCACCCTCTTATTCATAATAAATGCATTCAACCCGTTCTACAGTTTCAGACGAGGGTCTGAATGATCCCCTAGCCAACGTCGAGCAGTTCAACATCATACAGTTCTTGCAAAACGACGAAGGGTAAGCCTTAAAGGGCACGTAGTTTGGAGGGTACAACGATTACAAGGTACAAGGTGGTAAAAGTGATTTAGGGGTACGAAACTCGATTTTTTTCGGTATTTTGTACCCCCGAACTCCGGATTTCACACCCCTGAAATCGCTTTATACCCTAATAACTTAAAAATCGTCGTACGCTCCGAATTATTTGCCGTCTCAATGTCCTTTCATTCCATATTCCCTATTTTCAGTTTCAACATCCCCTTGGAAACTTTCGAACAAGTACCACTGCCAAATTTGGAACAAGAAATGGATCCGAGTCTTCAACAGCACATTCAACAGCACCTTCAACAGCAACACCAACTTCGAATGCAACAAATGCAGAATCAGCAGATGCCAAACCAACAAATGCAGAATCAGCAGCAGCAACACTTGCAGAATCAACAGCAAAT